GTGAACCAATTGATATTCTGTACTTTTGGAATTTGGTTATGTTCAAGTTAAGAAAGAAGCTTTTAGTTTCTTTAACTTTACCATAAAGTTACAACTGACAAGGTTAATTGACGTTATTTTGTAGCTTTGAATCATCTAGTATTCAAGATAATGACTACTTTTTGTTTTTAGAAGTTTTACTTTGTAATCATATGGATTATAATTAAAGATTTGATAGGGTGTAGCAAAAAATTATCGTTTGTAAATTATTATTTCAATTATTGGAATTGTATAAGGACTTAAATGATTACAATAGGGAAATGCATGCTAAAATGTACCTATAACGGTGTTTAATTGTCAGAAAACGAAAATTATGACAAATTTTTCTTTTGTAATTTTCAAGTTGTTAAAAAAAACATGTAGATGGGTGAAAAAAATGGATGGGTAAAAAAAGGATAAATGGGTAAACGGGTAAATGGTTATGGTTAAATGGGTAAATAGTTATGGTTAAATGGGTACACGGTTACGAGTATGGTTAACCGTTTATAAATAGTTATGGGTATGGGTATAACCGTTTATGCAATTACCAAACAGGTAAACGGTTATGCGGGTATGAATATAAACGGTTATGGATAAATAACCGCGATTACCCGTCTGCTATAACCATTGTCCATCCCTACTCACATTTCATCCACTCCCATTTTCTTGCAACACTAATAAATTAGTAATATTGGTCAATATCTCTTCCTTTCCCCAACCTCGGATATGACGGTCCAAGTTGGTAAGGTTCTTACGCGGTCTTGGCATGGCAGCTGCTCTAGCTTTCGAAAATAACATATAGGATCTTTTGCCAGTTAGTATTATTATGTTCTAGTGGTATTTTTTTTTTAATTATAAATGAGATGTTTTAGGTTTAATTCTTGTCAAAAGCGAATTTGAACCACATTATTGCTAGTTCATTATGAAGCTAAGCCCAACCATCAACCCTCAACTCCTTTTCTCTTACCGTAGATATATCATTTGTTAAAATAATAAAAAAAACATATAGAATATCTTCCCTCCAAGTCTTTCTTTATTTCAATATCTTCTTATTTAAACCGCCACGGTGGTAGTTAGCAAATGGATGAAACATGAATCAGAGATTCTCACGAGGCCTGAAAGTTTTCAACCCGAAATCCCTACCACCCTTCCTTGTGGCCGACAATGCTAAAACCCTAAAAGGCCTTTAATTCAAAAGACCTACTTTTCCCTACAGGCAATGGCGGGCATAACACGACTGATCAATAAAACCAAAGCTCCATATATGCCTTTGTTAATTGAAAAGTCAATGTCAATTTCCATTAAAAATCATCATAATCGTCAGAGCTCACACGATCGGATGGCAAATTTCATAGGATTCTTGTTTTCAGCAAAGTGATGTGGATTGTGGAGAGAGTACATTAGAAATTTTTCAATGTATTTAAACACGGACTGGTGCAGTGGTACATCACAATATCATAATGTGAATGCAAATTTCCGCCTTATTTTGATTGATGAATCTGTACTTGCAAAATAATAACACTTAAGGTTAAGGTCAAAAACCTCATGTGCCCACGATAAATGGGGAGCTTTGTTCGAAGAATTTCCGATGCCAAAGTTAGAATTCTGAAAAGAATGTTTTTGAGTGTTTGTGGGTAGCAAAAATCCACTTTAGAGGTAGTTAAAGCTTACTGAATTTTGGAGATAAATGGTTTATTTATTGGAGAGATGGAAGAGATGGGCCGGCCTCTAGGATTTAGAGGTGACGGGCCCTATGTGGTATTTTAGGTAAGAATATTTCAAGATATTTGTGTAAATAAATATCATAAAGTAATTAGTTAAATATTCTAAATAAATGGAATTAGGATAACTTACTTGAAATATGTTTTCTTTGATTAGGAATGTATTTATGATAAGAATAAAGAATTATTTTATCATAAATACCTTTGACTTTTCCTAAGGGCATGAATGTCTTGAGCAGTCGTTGATCTCTGTCTGCTCTACTTCAGCAGCGCGTGGTGAATGAAGCTGCTCGCCCCCTTATTTAATAGGAACAGTATTGTCTTTCTTAGAAAATAATTTATGTGTCAGCTCCATAATTTTTGGAATTATTTTTTAACTTCAAAAATAATATAAATGGAGGAACATATGTAGAAAAAGAGAAACTTCTCTCTAGTTATATTATTATATGTATTGTACTGGCTCGTGCTCGAGTATATGGAAAAATCTATGAGAATCCAGCTTTGCATTGCACTACACGTACGATCATTGTGCGCCAAGTGTCATGTAATCTAACGAAGGAATGCAATGTTTGAACACTATAGAGAATTTACTTATACTCCAAGTATCCAATGGAAGAAAGTGGAGAAAAAAGTATAAAACTTTTTCATACCTTTTATCTTTAGTGTGATGGAGTGGGGATGCATACAGGGACGCGTGCACGCACAAAGGATTGCACCCACTTTCTTTATCTCTTCCACCTTTATTCTCAAGAAGAAGCAACCCACGATGATATTGCATATTATCAGAAGCCGAATACTTGAAAAAGATTTTACGATGATATTTGCATATGTCGTCATGTAATATTATGATCGATGTGTTGTAATATTTGTGAACGGTGAGACTATATTTTAGAGTATAATATCTACAAAATATGCATGTGATCAAACAAAAAACATGTGCATGTGGTGTGTTTGTTTGTTTGTTTGTTTTTTTTTAATCCCAGTTTGTGTCTTCGCCATGACAGTTTACCTTTCCGGAGGTCAGGAAGAATACAGAGACATTTCAGCATTCTCCCGACCATCATCGTGTGATTCACCATAGGAATCAAACTCAGGACACGCCGTGTGAAATACGAATGTGGAATTCGTCCCCAACCACTGAGAGAGGGAAATGTTTTTCTATTACAAGCAATATAGTATCAGTGCAATGTTAAACTCGAAAAGCAATAAGTAGAGGAAGAAGACCCTATCTATCATGTAACCCACCACTTGCGGACTAATGAGCAAATGGTAAATTGCTCTAATGGTTACGGTCTTCCTCTTTTAATCCACAGCTTTCAAGGTTAATCATATCCCTTTCCCAAGTGTAAATTAAAATATATTAATTTTTAATTAAGCAAATCCCATATATTAATTATTTTTCAAATGTTATTGTTAGAATCTTGATTGATGTCTTCAAATATCTCGTTCAGTTTTCTATGTATATGATTCAGATTAGTTTTGTTTTCTCACCACGCAGTGCACGCACACCATCTAATAAAAAAATTTAGTTGAAACGGTAGTGTAGATTTAGTTTAATAATTAGTTTTGCGTTCTTCGTCATGTAATTAGTCTTTTTCAGAAAGCACATGTCAATAAATATAAAACTTAACAATATAATAGTTATATGAATTCGTTCGGAAGTGCTTTTAAAATGATTGAAAATATTTTTAGTCCTTTACCATAGTGATGGAAATCAGTTGATCATTTGCATTACGACGTGGGTTCGAACACTAATCTAACAAAATCTATCATTTGACAAAAAAAAAAAAATGTTTTTAAGTACCAAAAACACTTGAAGTACATTTTAAAAGAACTATCTTGTAGAAAGCACTTCAAATATTTTTTTACTAGAATTAATTAATTCTAAAAATATTTTCATAAAAAAAAATTTCAATAATTTTAAACACACTTTCAAACACGCTACTTGTTAACGCACCACCCACTACATAAAGTAGCACATAAACTTGTTGGAGACCCATGCGATGCCTGTGGACCTTTAGATTTGATAATCAATGTACCAAATGATGTTAGGCTGGTAGGGACTCTTCAGAAATGAATTCGATCCATCATGCCGTGGTACCATGCTTGGCTACACCCCATGTGATATTTCCTCACTTTTTAATAAGCCAAACTTCTTTCATAGTATCATAGCCAAATTGTCATGTGTGAAGCTAAACAATTACACATGTTTCACGTTACTCAATTTATGTTGGCCAATTTATGTTGTTCATTTGTTATCCTTAAAAATTTACTACATGTGAGGATCTAAAAAAGCTAGAAAACAAGTACTCACCAAGAAAATTAGATAATAAGCTTGGAATAACGAAAGCAATGATAAAAAAAAAGGGACGAAAAACTAAAATAATTCAAACATAAACACAATGATAAACTTGAAGAAAGCTATATCTAAATGAAAATTGAATGACAAGCCTAGAACTACTAACTTGCTAGCGTAAGTTGGTTTTATAGAAGTCAAGAATGATTTGAAGAGTAGTTAAACATCAGAAGATACAATAATCTAAGGTTTAAAAATTAGACAGTTCACTTCTAATTGTATCGAGGCCTCATCCTAAAAAAAAGAGTGACCACAACGATGAATGTTCTCCTCAAAGAGTTCCCAACAAACCAAAAAGCGAAAATTACAGAATCGATGTTCATGATTCTTGGTCCATGTTGTCGTGAGATTATTGATATAGCTTTCTGTATCAACCTCACTCCTCACCAGAGTTGGAAATGGCTTTTCGAAGTTCATTGCTTTTGTAAGGTCTTCCATATCTGACCAAGAATGATCAATCTCAGGGAAGTCGGTCGAATTCACCTACCTATGGAAAACACAAGGTAGTGGCATTGTTGGTCCGTGTGTGCAACTAAATTTGATAAGAGCTTTTGAGCCCATGATTAGATTTCTAAGGTATTTATATTCCGTCGTCTTATTCCAGTTCTAAAAAAAACATAGTCCTACAAATATTTACTTTTGTTCTGTAGGAATATATATTAAATAATATTAAAAAAATAAATTTGTAAATCAAATAATACGTAACGAATAAAAAACGTTAATCAACACTACATTACCCATAAATATTTAGCCACCCTGTCGCCCTCAGATATCATCCCCCGTTTCTTTTTTCTTATCAATATTTCCGATTTCAAGAATATAAGACGGAGACAGAGAGAGAGATACCGAGAGCTTTACCTAATTAATTAATCATAATTATGTTTTTAAATTCAAAAGAAGTAACTAATATTTCCAATGCTCATTTTGTAACCTCCGATTCCTCTATCTTTCTCTCTCCAAACAAACAAAACGACGCCAGAGCCATCACACCACATATGCTCACAACTCCATATACAGGAAAGAGAGAGAGTGGGAGAGAGCAGAATAGAGAAAGCTTCGTAACCGACTTTTCGATGTAATCCGACTCCCAGATCTTCCAGAAACCCTAGCTTTCCTCTCAAGATTCTCTCCCATTCCTCCAAGAACCACTTCTTTCTCTCTCTCTCTCTCCTCTCCGCCTACGCCTACGCCTCCTTCTCTTTCGCTCCTCTTCTTCTTCACTTCCGACTCCGATCAAGCTCCTTCGTCTTTCACCAGCGAGGAACCAGAAACTCCTCCTCCTTCTTCCATTTCGGCGGTCCAGTGCCGGTTCGCGCCGCATTTCCGGTTCGCTCAATTTTCTGGCGATAGCGAGAGAGGGAAAAGCCCTAGGACCTGTGGTGATTGATCTGATTGCGGATTTTGGATTGAGGTTATGGTGTACTAGATGAGTACCATGGACGATAGAGGAGGAGGATCATTCGTCGCCGTTCGGAGGATTTCTCAAGGTCTCGATCGCGGCGGCAACACCTGCCATTCAACTTCTGGTAGTCAACTTTTTTTCTCTCTTCTATTTTTCTTCGCTTTTTTTCTATTTATGTTTGCTTTCCTATTCTCTCTCTCTCTCTCTCTCTTAGAAAGCGAACTTTCTCTCTCTCTCTCTCTCTCTCTCTCTCTCTCTCTCTCTCTCTCTCTCTCTCCTCTCTCCCTCTCTCTCCTTCAGCATTTCACCATTTTTTAAGAATATTTTTCGGAGCTTAGATCTGCTATTGAGATTGATTGAGCTCGTAGTATTGCTTAAATTATCAATAATTTGATGTTCTCCGATATTATAGATTGCTTTGGTGCGTGAGTCAATTAGATTTTCATGTCTAATTTTATATGCAAATTTTATATGCAAATTTTTGTTCGATTGAAACTTTGATTCGTCACATTTTCGATTTCTGAATGCTTATTTTAGTTGATTTCACCTTTATTTTGAACAATTGGTGTAAATTTGTATTCGGACTTGGATTTTCGATTATTTGGAGCTTTCTAGCTGAAAGTGATGGCAAAATGTATGCAAAAATTGAAGAAAAGAGCTACATGTTTATTTTATCAATTTTGACTGTGGAACTTTAATTGTCTGTGTTCATATTTTATTTGAATTTACTTTAATTAGCTATTTATTATTTTGCACTTTCACTTTTATAGGTCGTTGGGCTTGTTTCTTTGAACTTCCTTTTACTATGAAATGTGGGGGCTCTACTATCTTTAAAGTAGGTTGCGTAGTTTATTATAATTGCAGCAGTTTAGCTGCTCCACTGTGCGAAATCTACGAGTTTTGCTGCTCCATTATGCGAAATCTATGGTGGTGGCTTGAATGAAACACTTACGGATCTTAACATCTGTCATCTTCGAGAAATCTTACAAACCATTGTCGGTTATTGCACATTGTTTGTATAGTACATACAGCTTTTATGTAATCATTTTGCAGTTCATAGTCATACAGCTTTCCTTTGAGGATTTGGAAAACCATGTTCTTAATAATTGGGAGTTTTATTTTGTTACAGCGGAAGTTGTAGCAGGATCAGCAGCATGGCTCGGCCGAGGTCTTTCTTGTGTGTGTGCACAGAGAAGAGAGAGTGATCCTCGTCCTTCCTTTGATTTAACCCCTGTCCAGGTAACATGCTTGCAATTGTATAAACTGTGTTTGTCCATTATATGTGCCAGTGTTGTCTTTAAGTGCTTAGTTTTCACTTCCGCAAGGGGAATTCTTGTTCTTTCTCCAGTGGTTTACTTAAATACTGAAATCTCCTGAGTGCAATACTTCCAGTTTCCCATTTTTGACTCCTTTTTATGCTCCTGTTTGTTTATCGCACATGGACTAGTTATGCATAGTGCTGAATTATAATTTTAACCTCTCTAGATTTCTGTGTTTATTTTTCTTGGGAGGAATGTGTTGATTATGTATGCCTTGGTTTTGTCAGGAGGAATGCCTGATTAGACTACAGAGCCGTATAGATGTTTCCTACGACAGTTCAGTTCCTGAGCATCAGGTATATATTAGTCCACAGATTCCAGTTACAGTAAACCTAATTGTGTTTGGGGAGGATTTGCATGAATTTTTCATTCTGAATTTGTGCACATAGTTCAGCAACATACTTAGATCTACTTCTCTGGTTTACTCTAGGAAGCTTTGAGGGCCTTGTGGAGTGCTGCCTTTCCTGAAGAAGAACTTTGTGGTCTAATATCTGAGCAATGGAAAGAAATGGGTTGGCAAGGGAAAGATCCATCTACAGACTTTAGGTAATTCTAATATCTCCATCGTCATTTGGACGCCTCATTTGTTGCTAGCTTTTTCGTTTCTCTTTTTACTTCTTTCGTTACTAACTGTTAGTTGAATTTTCTTCAGGGGTGGTGGTTTTATTTCATTGGAGAATTTGTTGTTCTTTGCTAGGAGTTTCCCTGTATGACCTCTCTCTCTCTATCTCTCCCTCTCCCTCTCCCTCTCCCTCTCCCTCTCCCTCTCCCATTCTCGCTCTGGTATACACATTTATGTACACCATACAGTTTCACCTGCCAGATTTAACATCACAATGCTATTGATCACTCCGACCATTTGGTGAAGTCAATGTGATCAACAGCATTAAGAACTGCCACACATCCCATACTTGACATATGTAAAAACATATATGTATGTTGTCTTGAAATCATAAGAGACAGAAGTCAAAGTAACTTAAATACAAATTTATTTTCATATACCATGGACAATATACATGCAGTGGCTGATAAATTGTGAAGTGTTGCCTTAAGTTCCTGTGCATTTTTCCCTTGCGTTATCTTATGTACTTCTGGGTTTATTTCTGTTGTGCTTGGGACAAAAAATGCTCTCACCATTTATAAGCTACCACATCTTTTGCTTCCTTTGTCCGGCATCATTCCTCTGTGGGTGTGAGTACGCAGTAATATGCATCTCTATTTGGCTATTCTTGCATGCGTGGTGTAAGTTCTTTTTGGTTATCGGAAAGTTGCTGCCCAATAGGGAACTACAATAGGTCTATCTTATAAGCTACTTGTGTCTCATTGAAAGTAAATACTTTCATTGTAGAAATCTTTCCAGGATCTTCTTCGAAAGCAAGAAGGTGATAGGTCAGTGTGGGAGTACCCATTTGCAGTTGCCGGTGTGAATATCACATTCATGCTCATTCAAATGCTCGATCTCGAAGCTGGTTGGTATTTCTTCTTGTTCTTTCTTGTTCATTTACATTCTTATAGTTTTCAGGAATATTTGCATTTCCTGACAATAAAAATTATTTGTAATATTGTGATTTTCTGTACATTTTGAGTTGTTAAATCAGCTACAGTGCACTATACTCCCTAAAAAAATTGATTTCTTGTTCTTTTGAGTGCATTGTAGCTGACTTGTCAATTAAAGTTTTGAGCATTCAAATGTATTTCGTGGTATTGGTTTGTACATGGTCACTGTAAGAACTTGCTAGAATGCTAACAATACCTAAATTGAGAACAAAGCATTAGGGTTTAGGGTTTAGTTAAATGCTATGTGAAGTTTGCCCCAATTATTAGTGATGGATGTAATTGTAAGTTGATTAACGCAAAACCTTTGAGGAATAGGAAGTATAGCGGTAGTGAATATTCTTCTAGATAATAGCTTTTGTGTTTATTTTATACGTTTTTTTGTCAGTTGACAGTGTTGTTTATGTGCAGTCAAACCACGAACACTGGTGGGAGCTACTTTCTTGAAGTTTCTTGCAGGTAATTTCAGCTTGAATGTGCTGTTTCATGTATTTTGTTCAATGTAATAATGTTTTTTCTTTTCGTTTGACAGAAAATGAATCAGCGTTTGATCTTATCTATTGCATCACATTCAAGCTAATGGACCATCAGTGGCTTTCTATGCGTGCATCCTATATGGATTTCAATGTACGTATTTCTCAAGAAGTCCTCCCTTTATCTGCATTTGTGGCCAATCCTTTTATATATTTTATAACCTTCTAGTCAAATGTAGTTTCCCAAATGCTGTGAAAGTAAAGACATTAACGTGTGGGTAACTGAAAACCTCATCAGTCATTGTGTGTCCTGAGTCTTGGGGTGAATTTTGTATATAAAAGCGGTGTTCTGGTTACAGATTGCTCCTTGTAGAAGTTTCACACTTCTATGTTGAGGTGGATAGAGAATTTTGGGTGGGGCGAAGTCTATTATGTTTCACACGTTTGGTTTGTTAGTTTCTTGTGCTAATATTTTGTCCTTGTTCTGTTGTGTTCTTAACAGACAGTGATGAAGGCCACACGCCGGCAGTTGGAAAAAGAACTTCTGCTTGAAGATGTAACACGGCTGGAAGAGTTGCCCTCATATGGCCTTCTTTCCCGATAGTGTAGAAGCTTGTCATAGAGTCTATGTAATAGTCTATCACAACTAGTTACATAATCATCGGCAGCACTGTTATTTCTAACTAGACGGTGTTTGTACATGACACGATGCTCCCAAAATTTTCTTGCAGCAAGTCAGCATATTGTCAATGGTTCTTGGAAAGGGTTTTGGTTTTTAGTTTCTTGAGTCAAGAGGCTGGAACAAGCGCGATGTGATTCAGGTTTGAAATGCAGAGTATAAATCTCGTACATGTGGAGTAAGACCGGAGCATCCTTCTCAGTACGCCCATGGCCGACGGGATGTTAAATACATAGATAGAGGTATGTTTGGTACTGCGTCTGGGGATGTCGAATGGTATTCTGTTTGGATTTTTAACGTTTGATTGCTTTCTGGAATATTATTGTTTGATAACTGATGATGGTCATCAGTTGCAGGGGGACTTGAAAGCCCCGTTTGAAGATATAGAATTGTTGTCGTTCGGAAATATGTAGAGTTGGTCTTGTTTTCCAAAATACCTGTGGAAAATGTCTTGTACGAAAGGAAGTCTTCATTTGCCGATTGGTCCAAACTGTTCCTATTTCATTGTGCAAATTGACTCAAAACGAAGTTTGCGAAAATGGTTGGACCTAGCTTTGAACCGAAGCGTTTATCTTTTAGGTACTCCTTGAAAAATACATTTAAATGGGAAAATGTCTACGTATGACCGTATAAATGGACAGGCACTCTTATAACCTATGAAACTTTCCAACTTGGCCGAATTATTGGAGGAATGAGCTTTGAATAAGGACTTGAAAAATGAGATTACATTGTGGGGTATGCAAAAATGAATGCTTGGCATCGTATTACCTTGTTAACTGGTTATCGCTTGACCGTTAATGCGTAAAGAAAACATTCCCGACCCTTTGAAATGACATTTTATCAAACTAGTAAGATGATGAGACCTCGTTGTCAATGGATAACAAAAAGGGTAGACTATCTACACATTCATTTTTTTCTTTTCAGCTGTCCTCTAAATTTTCAATCGTCGGATCGAATGAATTGAAGGAGATCAATGACAATAAATTAACAGAGATGTGTCAGAGATAAAAATAAGTGTAAATAGCACTATCGTACAAGAAATATTCCCCCTTATTAGTGAAGAGAATATGGGTAATTGAAAGAGATGCCTCACTACTCGGTCCATTGCCAAGCTTGGAAAAGAAACCAACCGCTTTGCAACTCATGGCATATTAACCTTTGAGATGACAGAGGAGAAACGTGAGAATACAGGATATAAGAAATAATGTATTTCGAGTTATTTTTAGCTTTTACACTGTGTATGATGATTAGACCTCGCCATAAAATATAGGAAATAATGTATTTTTACTTTAAGCGAAGGAGAATGCTATTCCTTTCGTATACCAATAAAATAGAAAGGGGGGGATTTTTGGGTAACTGAAAGTGATGCCTCACTAATCATCCGTTGGCAGCCAACACCTTGGCAAAGAAAACAACAATCTCTACGTGTCCGAAAAAAAATCAGAAACTACTTTATGCCAAGGTTAGATGTTCTCACACGCAACACGTTAAACTTTTACAACGCATCAAACAAATCCCTAGTGGATTCTCGATACCTCTGACAAATGAAATGACTACCAAAAACATTAACACGGCAAAACTCCTTAATCGCAAACTATTTGGATTGGAGGGAACCATTAGTGTTTGACGAGATAAATTTTATTTTAAATGTTAAATAATTAGTTGTTAGCAAGGTATTAAATATCGGTAATATCGGAAATATCGGTAATCCGAAAACACGGAAATATCGACGGAAATATCGATAAAATATCGATATCGATAAAAATTACATGGAAACCACTAAAATTGTAAGAAAAACTTGGAAATTTTTATTGAAACTTTGCAGGATGTTTATTTAGTCAATTATCTATTAGTTTATCACAAAAAATTGGAAGGAAATGCATTGCATGATGGATTTAACATTATCAAGTTGATTATATAGCGAGCTGACAAACATTGTGAGTGTAGAAAATATGTAGTAATTAATCATTTATATATGTAGTAATTAATGAAAGAAGTTTAAACACACCATAATCATTTATATATAATGAATTAGTACAATATTTTACACTTTATATATTGCATGGTAAGATACATGAGTGACTTATTCTTATAACGGGTACATATCAAATTTTTTTTATAAAAATTAATGGGTACAAACTTATTCTTATTTTATTTTTTATATATTTGAAATGTTTGAATTGAAAATTAATTAGGAGTTTAATAAGGATGTGAGTATTAAAACTCTAAAATAAATTACTAATTTTTTGTATGAAAAGTTATGTAACTTACATGTAATTCATTAATGCTAGAGACTTTGATCAAAATATAAAAACTGATAAGATCTAGTAAATGAACATTAGAAACTAGGGATCGGATACTAATTTTTCTTTATTTTTTTTAAAAATAATAATAATTTGGTTAATCACATTTTACATCATCTAGTTTCGAGAAAAAAGAAAAACTTGTTTGGTCAATTTTTGAAAGCCATATCAAAATTTTGAGTGATATTTTTATCCAACGTGTTAATACAAAATCATATAGGCATAGTACATGATTATGTTTTGGTAATCGAAGACGCCAAAATGAGATGAACGGTTCTACTTAGGTAATTATAGGTTTTTAATTACATTGATGATGTAGTAAATATAAGACTGACGTAGAAACGTCACTTCCACCATTTAGACTAAATTGTATGATTGGTTTTCCTTTCATGTTACTAATTTGAATAGAAGCCAAAGCTCTACGATGACGAGTTTTTGTTCATATGTGCTAGTTTTGGTTTCCTCGTTTAGCCCACAAAATAAATCGAATGATAAAATGTAAAAGAATATCCAACCAATCTAAAATTTTAAAAATACATTAAGTCATATAACTTAAGATATTTTGAATGGTTATATTTAACTTTTTTAAAATTAAAAGTAAAATCATGGTTGGGTGGGTGGTTGAAATTGAAACTTTGAAAAGGTGCAGCATGCTTCCCCATTTCAGCACCACGTGTGTGGTGTGACCTCCCCTCCATCCCGATTCCCCATCCTTCACATCTATCTTCTCTCTCAGTCCTCTCTTTCTCTCCACTTTCCAGGCTCTCCCTCTCTCTCCTTCTCTCCCTCAGTCTCTTCTTCTCTGCAACACGCGCACAGACCACACACGCAGACACCACACACGCACACACCACACACGCAGTCTCTCCTTCTCTCCCTCAGTCTCTCCGTCGTCCGTCCATCCTTCTCCCTCAGCCTCAATCTCGATCCTTCTCTTCCTCAGTCTCTCCGTCCGTCTATCCTTCGCCCTCAACCTCGATCTCGATCCTTCTCCCTCAGTCTCTCCGTCCATCCTTCTCCCTCAGTCTCTCCATCCTTCTTCTTCTCCCTCAGTCTCTCGATCCTTCTCCGGTTCTCCCCCCCATCAAATCCGAGCGGGTTTTGGGATCCGAAGAAAGGGATTGCTCATTTTCAGGGTCTGAGCGTGGATTGCTCATTTTCGGCTGCCGTTGCGACGACGACGGAGGATCATCGGCGATATTATGGCTAATATCGCGATAATATCGCTAATATCGCGATATTATCGATATTAGCGATATTATCACGATATTATTACGATACTTAACTGTAAACGTTGAAAATATCGTTATATGAAAATAACGATATTATCGGCGATATTTCGTCGATAATATCGATATTTAAATCCTTGTTGTTAGGAAGAGGAGAATCAGTGACCTATTTTTCGCAACTGTAGCAAAGTACCATTTTCGAACGACAAGAGGAAATTCTTTTGTTTTGGAATTCCAAATAAAATAATTTTGCTTATATTGCTTTTCAAACTATTTTGGGATTGGGGTGTTGTCAAGCAATTGAGTTACAACGTTGTCTAATTGAGAGCTACAACGTCATCACCACTCATTGCCTAATATAAAAGTATAATGGCCTCGATGACCCAGGCAAGGTTGTAAGACAACAATGAAGGTGAGGTTGGCGCTAGGGGTGGAGTGGTGGTCGATCATTAAGGTGGCTGCAGCGGGTTTTGACAATGGTGGTGGTGACGACGATGATAAGGAGCAGAGCCGGTGGCCACAGCGGTAGCAGTGGCAGATTAAGCGGCAACGGGCAGTGTCATTCAAAGTAATTTTATTATTTCTGGGAACTCAGATTATAAATCCCTCCATCCACATAAGTTTATGACGAGTAAAACTTTAGAAAGAATTCAACCAACGCACAAAATAAACACTCAAATATGAAGCTTGATTTGAAAGGGCACTGGTAAACCCAGCAGTTCTTAGCAACCACTACAATAACCTTACACCTCTCTGGCATCCCAAGGTTCCGAAGAAATGGGTATTGCCACACTCAAAATAGAAGTCAAAACGTAACAAGTTCATTAGAAGACTAGTCGGAAAGTAAAATATGACGAGGGGCGGCAGCCAGTGGATTAATCGGACATCCCTTACTCATAGATCCAGTGGTGAACGCTGCTCTGCCAGTTTGCAGGGCCGTCGGGGAACCACAGTGCAATCTCCTTCCTTGCACCCTCGGCTGAGTCACTTCCATGAATGATGTTCCTGTCAGCCAATAAAATTTCGTCGAGTCAAACTACCATCGCACAACAAATGCATAAGAAATCGAGGGTTCTTAAAATTTTAAACTGATCACATGAGATGCAATCAAACTACACAAAACCTGGAAAGACTAGAATATTTATGTTCACCATAATTCAAACCATCAAATTACCTGCCAATCTCAATTGCATAATCACCACGGATGGTTCCGGGGGCAGATTCTGCTGGGTTGGTGGCACCAATGATCTTTCGGCCGGTAAGAATAACATTCTTACCCTCCCAGATCATAGCAACAACGGGACCAGAGATAATGTAATCAACCAATCCACTGAAGAAGGGCTTTGCAGACAAGTCCTCGTAGTGCTTCTCAGCAAAAGGACGATCCACATTGATGAACTTCATACCTGAACATATTCAGCAAAAAACTTAGCATAAATTACAAGCTACGCACCCTAAACAATCTAGAATGCGACTCACATGACTTGCACAAGCATATTAGCAGAGTACCAGATAGAATCTAAATGACTAGTAGTATAAGAAGACTCAAACTTTTGTTAATATTACTTTAAATTTGGGATTTTTTCTCCAATGTTCAAAGATAAACAGTGAAAAAGTACAGGCAAATTCAACCAAGTTCTAGCCGGGGTAAATTTAGCTAGTAATTTGTTGAGTTGATAATCATTATGAAACAAAGGCATGTGCTAAATGCAGCAACGAAAAAGCATTATCAACTAAGTGGGGTCGCCTATATGAATCATAGAACCTCGGTTTTGTGCCATGTCTTTCGTCAGAATACATTTGAAACAAATTAAATTTATCACAATTCATAAAATATTACAAGATCAATCTATCATTGAGAATTACCTTTCAAATAGAAGCCCTTCTTCTCAAACCTGCTAATGATGTCACCAACCTAGAACAAACATAAACCTCTTAAAAAAAATTCAA